CAGCGCCGTTAGTTACGTATTGCTGATTTTTCATTTAAAGTTAGCTTAATGGATCCATTTTCATTGCCAGATCTCCGGTGCAAAATCTTTTGAAGCGTTCAAACACCATTTCTGACTATGAAACCGTTTTCAAGGTCTCTTGACTTCAATTCATATGGCATCCGAATTACCTGCTTTTGCATGTATCCGGCTACCTTTAAACGTTTTGAAATGAAATTGGCAGTGTCGTCCAGACATTCTACGAACCTTCTTGTGTTTGGCAATAATTTTCATTAACTAAAAACGTCACCTAAATTTTTCGTTTACTTGTCGTTGCCACTGTAGGCATACATTACTTTCCACGTGCGTACCTGCGAGTATAACACATATACATAGTACAATGCCTCGGGCGCAAAATTTGGTATCGTTGGATGAGTGTGAACGAATTTTCAAGCAATAATCACATATACCTGGATCTGTGTAGATATACAATATACAAGGTGTATTCCAAAGTAAACAGGACTTGAAAAAGACAGAACAAATGGTTTTATCGGCAAAATCAATTAATTTTATTCAAAATAGTCTCCTTCTGCTTTAATACAGCTTTTGCACGTTCCAAAAGCAAGTCGAACGAGTGTTTTAGCTCGTTGCCCGTATCCGCCAGTATGCCGTGCAAGCCTATAAATGCCTCCACGTCTGCATAACGCTTTCCTTTCTCGCAAATGCATTTTCCGAAAAGCGAAGTCGCACGGTGCCATATCAGGTGAATACGAACTAGTTGATTGTTAAAATGTGATTTTGGTCAAATAATCGGCCACAAGCGTCGATCAATGAGAGGGATATCGTGCAACAAACGCCAACTTCGCGATGGTCGGGCCGAATATCGCATTAACGTTTTGGCCGGTGGAACAAATTCTTTGTGGACAATACCCTTGGAATCATAAAAACAAATCAGCATTGTCTTCAATTTTGACTTCTCCAGGCGCGATTTTTTGGGTTTCGGCTCATTTCTCATTTATGTCCTTACGACCACTTTGAAAACGTTGAAACCACTCGTGCACTCTGCTACGGGATAGGCAATCATCGCCATAAACTTGTTTCATCAATTGAAACGTTTCGGTAAAAGTTTTACCAATTTTAAAACGAAATTTAATGTTGGCTTTTTGTTCGAAGCTCATTTTCGCACCGATGACAAAAACATACTGACACTTAAAAAGCAATAACTTCACTCCCAAAGATGAAATGTCATGCAATTTTTACTGGAAGTCGATAAAGGATAGCAGATTCTAACGCACTAGTCGACATATAGATGGCGCCACTAGAGTTTACTTTGTTACTTTTTTACTGTTTACTTTGGAACGCACCTTGTGTATACAATCTTTTTTCGACTGACGGTCATCGATTATGCATGCCAAATTAGAAGAGATAAATATCGAAAAGGTCCATAAACGCGCTTTAAAAGTGTTATTGCCACTCTGATAATCATGTGTGTTTGTCTTTACGTACATGTATATATATATATATATACATATATGTAGGTATGAAATTCGCGCATTAGAATGCTAATCAAAGTGCTTACTGCCACACACATGGCAATTGAAGAATGCTCATCAGCGTCATGTGCTCCTCACAAGGCCAAACAGTATGTGCCGATAAGCAGCGTAATATTTTTTTTAAGTGCCAGCCTGCAACATACATACTACATACACAAAAGGAGCACGCCGGCAGTTAACTAAAAAATATTTATTTTGTTATATATACATATATATTTGCATATACTTGTACATATATAAGTAAAGTACCATCATTTTTCTACATATTTACATGTAATTATTTATATAGGTATATACTTATATAATGCAAAGTGTATGGCCATTGGCCTATAATGAGCCGCGCAATCATAATCGGATGTCACGTGTGTTAGACTATCATATTTTTTAGCGCTAAGCACAATTTGATTGCCTTATGAGGATGTATAATTGTTTACGAATAAAAAATTTATTGCACTCTTTGTTGAGTAAAAACATTTTTTATAGTTTTTTGCTTTTCCATATGCCATAAGTATGTAGTATTGAACAAATGAGGCTCATAGGTGGCTCTTCAGCTCCTAAATATATGCTATCAGTGTCATAAATTTTACATTTTTTGATAAAGAAGAAATCTGCCAGGCATATTAGAGAGCACATGTCGCTTCTATGATCGCTAAACTTAAATTATTGTAGGACCTAACCTTCAAAAGTTCAGCGTATAAGTTAAAACAAATGTCGTTCAATTGGTTGTTAGATTAATACCATTCGATCTCATTTGATCCGGACTGACAAAAAAAACAACATTTCTATGTATTTTAACTCAAAGCATTGTTATCGCCTTCAAAATAGAATACTGAGCCAATACAAGACCACTACTGTGCGTCGTTTATGCAAAATAAAATCAGATATTTTTGTACGAGTGTAGCATCGACAGGCTACTTACCCAAAACATTAACCAAAATAAGAAATATTGACATAATCTGCCAACGATTTTCAAGCGCTGTTTTTTTAACTTTTATGATGTTATCGTTATTAACAAAATGAATGGATGAAGGATTCGCGTGAGTCACGTTTTCGATTACTTCCCGACCTGTAATGAATGCTTTCTGTTACTCTAATACGAGTGTTCCTGATAAATTAGACTTCCAAAAACACCTCTACAACACTTTCATCGATTCCGTAGCCGTGACTCCATTGGAAACACAAAATTTAAAGCAAACTGTTGTTACATATTTTGGCTTATGAAGATCAAACTTCTCACGAACTTAAAAAGAAGTTGTACCAATCCAAAAAAAAATTTCTTATTTCGGTTTGCGCTCAGTTATTCTTTCAAATCGATACGAGCGAACCATACGCTCAATTCCTATATGTAAAATGTAAATATTGTCAGTAGTAAACGTAACCTCAAGTAGTCTTGTCTTGTATGTTGTCTTATCGTTCAGCTCGATAAAGTCAGTCGAATTAAATTGTCTATTTGGATAAAAAAATTACTATATATGTGGCATCCCAGTTGTCTCCCTTGCATTATAATCTAACCTAGATTGACCCTTAAAATTACAAAAAAAATCAGTGGCGCCGGTATTTCCTTTCATAGTTTCTTATCGACCCGCAGGGAGTTACCTGACGTGTTCGATTAAGTTTCAGAGGTCGTTTATAGGTTCTTTTAGTTGGATATGGTTATTAAAATAGCAATCTTACACTTTTAGAGTGTAAATAGGGTATATATTACCTCGTTGCTTACTTTGCAGTGTTGACATATATTTAAGAGGTTTATCGTTTCAACATAAATTCGATCGTGATATTGCTTTCGGCAAGCAGCATTAACCAGCTGCCAAACCAGATCGTTTGAAAATAGAGTTATTTTGACTTTTAAGTAAGCGGGAGTTCCCACTTGTCGCCTGTGACACTTTATTGGTAATCAATTCTACGAACTGGTTAACACTTATCATAATAACACTTCGTTTGCAGAAATTATTGATAATTAACGCTTGGCTAATTTTATTTCAACTGTTTTAATTGCAGTTGAGGATGCTAAAAGGTATGCCATAAAATTGCGACAAAAATCGTTAATCGCCAGCGATACAACAGACGCTACAACATCAACGGCGCTGGCGGCCACATTTTGGTCAAACCCAACCTCACCGTTCATACTGGCGGGCAGCAATGGTGTTAACGGCAACGATGTTAACAGCAATGAAAGCGACCCGACTATGACCATATTGACACGTGACGATGTGATACTCGCCCAAAAAGGACTGCCGCCACAACAATATGACGCATTCGTGCTATTCGCCGATGCGGATATTGAACAAGCCGCCGAAATACAAACCAAATTCGAAGAAAATGAAAAATATAATTTTAAGGTATGTGAAAAATCCAAAAAATTATTTCCAAAAATTATACATAATAACACATATTTATTTGTTGTTGTATTACAGTTATGCTTCAAGAATCGTGATTTACTCGGTGGCGTACCGTTCACGCACGTTGCATTGACGCAACTGATCGAGGAGCGTTGCCGCTATTTACTTGTGATCTTAACAAAAGAATTTCTCGATAGCCCAGAGAATCAATTTTTGATGAATTACACACACGCGCTGCAAATACGTGAGTGCATTTGCCGCTAATAATCGAGTTGAACGGCATGGAAAATTTTATTTAATTTAATTACATTTTCCTTTTTTTTTTTGCTTTACAGAGAATAATACGCGTAAGATCATACCGCTTATTTATGAGGATTCGGTTGTTATACCACGTGCCTTAAAAATATACACACACCTCAAGTATACACCAGTGCCTACTACGCTATTTGACTTTTGGGCGCGTCTTGGCGACTCAATACGACGCTCTTACAATGCCTCAGACCCGTCGCCATATGGCCTAAATGAAGTTGACACGTAAGCCATAAATCTTTAAGCCATTAGCGGCAAATTTAGTCATAATAATGATTTGGTTCGGTAGACTTGTTCAGTAGTATTTTATCGTTAAAAATTAAGAGAATTTTCCAAAATATTTTCTTTGTTATAACAATGTAGAATAATGTCAAAATATTTTATGGGAATGCTGCTAAGTTAACAGTTCTTCGGCCACGTATAAATGCCGGTCTGTTTTGGTTACTAAAGCTCCACTTTCCTAGTAGCAATAACGGGAATATTTAAATGCGTTTCTGTTTCTTATAAAACTCACTTAGAAGCCAGTTATTTGGAGTTAAGGGGGTCGCCTATCTTCGCGCTTAAATTTCGGGCCTATTTTTGACGTTGGTTTGCAAAAAAAGTACTCATGATATTCGCACAAAACTTTTTTTTTATTAAAAATTATTATTTCTTAAACTTGAATACAAAAAATAAACGATCATTTTTTCCAAAAATCTGCGCTTTGAATATAACATATGAATAGTAACCGCTTGTCCGGGTTTGACCTTAAACACCTCTCCGCATGTCCCTCCAAGCCTGCTCAACCTTTCTGGGTTAACTCTGTCGAAGTATATCACATAAAACAAGCTTTATTACTTTAAAAACACCTAAACAATAAAGAATAATAAGCGCTACAACAACAACTAGTAATCGTATCAGTTTATTAAAAAAACAATACAGAGCTCTCGACATTTTTCCTATTTTTCGTAAACAATTAATGTTAATAATAACAATAAAGTTAAATTATTATCTCACGATCAGATAAACCTCTCAAGCAAACACAAGTCAAGCATTCAGCACTATATAATACTTATTTGCTTAGCATCTAATCACACCTCTTAAATATACAGACTCTATATTAATGTGTGTATGTACATATATAGATAAATATTTACTTACTTTATCTTTATAAATTGTTATTTATATGTATGTATATATATTTTTTTACACCCACAGCCTGCCCACCGTTAGGCAGCTACCATCTGACACGAGCTATACAAGCTTACCAACCCCCCGCACAACAAGCGTAACCATACCCACCTCACCCATACCGAGCATCAATATTAACGGACATGCCTACACACCCGAAGAGGAGGAGGATGATGTATTTCAACAGAAGGAGCTACGTTATCATTTCAACAAACGTTCATCCTTGCGTCATCACAACAGTGTCTACACTAACAATCACAACAACAATCGCATTAGTCAAGTCGTCAATGGTTTACGAAATGCACACTCTACTAGTCAGCTGAATGCTGGCGTCAATGTTGACAACACCGTCAGCATGAGTGATCTCAGCATAAGTACGGAGGCGAAGAAGAAAAAGAAGAAACCTATTAAAGCTGTGCTCAAGCGGGTGTTTAGCCGCAGTAGTCCGAAACTACAACAAACAGCAGAATAATAGTATTGTATTGTAATTAATTGTTTGTTTTTATTTTTTGCTTAATTGTAAATTGACTTTAAGATTGTATTTATAAATATCAGATATACGAGTATACTATATATAATATTGTTTAGCAAAACCAATAAATACGTAACAAAATGCAAGCAAAATGGAAAAAATGTTATGTTCTTAGTGTATTGTATATTATTTATGTATTAATTTAATTATACGAATCTGGTTTTATCTTCGCAACTGTGGCATAACAAGCAGCCAACACTCACAAAACACATACATTAGTATCGTTGCTGTACACGCTTTCTACTCTATTCACCCGCTCAATCAGTTAAAAACCGTATTTTAATACAAAAAAGAAATTTTTGTTTAAAATGTAATTATGCGTTATTAATTGTTTTATATACAATATAGATTTGTTGTTAATTGTAATGTCAATTGTGACTAGTCGCCAACTTCTACAACGCTTTTAAAATATTTCAAATATACATTTAAGCTTTCCAGTGCTCACTACATAATTCCTTAGCAACTTGTTGCATTTCTTACTTCGCTCACAAATGCTCATATACACACAAACATCAATATTTAGCGATCAATTTAGCACGCGCATTCATGTACATATCTGATAATTGAATTTATAAGATTCTTTAAACATAGCTGCACAAATCAGTGTCATTTCAATGATTATTTTAACTGTTAAATTAACTGTTTGAATATTGCAAACTTATTAGCAAGCCATAAAGTGCTTTAAAAAACCATTATTAAGAGTTGTATTTATATATATATATGTATACATAATCATAAAGAATGTACTATTTTAAGACAACGAATAAAGACAATATGCAATATTATAAAAAACAAACAAAAAAACCCACGCTATCATTGCTTTATTCAATTAAGATTCATATTTCAAAATTTGGTTTTGCAACGCACACAATGCATTTGTTTATTATAGCTTTGGGAACTCAGCGAAATAAAAAGTAATGGCTTTAACTATAATGTTTTCATGAATGAAACTGTAGAATCTAAAAGGTTTAATTCGTGTATCCCCAATAAAAACTGTTTTTGCATACAATAGATTTTGTTATGCAAAATTTACTGTTGAATTGGTTAAAGCAAAATGAATACATAAATGAATTGATTTAATGATGAAAAGGAAATAACGTTGTGCCACAACTATCATTGTCATATTTATTTTGAATTCCAACAGCAGGAGCACAATAAAAGCATACTAAAGGTTTTTCGATATATTAAACGACAATTACATACAATTGCTAAGTTAAGATTTTTAATTAAAATCTGTAAAAAAGCTTGGTGATATGATTAGTGCCACACTGTTTTTACGAACAAAAGACGTCAAGGAGAGTTACTTTAGTACTTTCCTCAACCAATTAAAAATATTTAAACTTATTATATACAAACATATGTAACCGCATTCATCCGGAACCCAGAAATATCACGATACGCAAGTATAACTAAATTCATGAAGTTTCACTTTCAATATTGTGCGAAGCAGATGATACACCATATTAATTAACAGAATCCGATATATTTGCAGCAGCCAATTATTGGCACAACTTCTCAAGATGATTAAAGCTGTTTCTTCAGTAAATTACATATATAAATACTTTACTTTTATGAAACAACTCATACGCTTAAAAAATATTTACTTAATAACAAATTTTGTACAGGCATATTTATTATATTCACTACAAACACATATTTTCAAGCGTCAAAAAAGGATACGCGCTTTGAACTACTATACCGTTTTCATTTTGACAAATGCCGGAAATACACAGGATGTAGCCATATTCACAGTTTACGTCACATTTCAAGTTGAAAAATTATTCAACTATAATAATTGAGTTTAAATATATAAAAAGAGTCATCGTAGTCACCCTACACAATATTTGACAGGCTGCCACTCTTTGATTTTCATCACTTTTTTGCATATAACATGATAAACTTATAAGGAAACAAATTTTTATTCAACGCACTTTTATAACATCCTTTTTTGTTAGAAAATATAATAAATTATACATTCTTACATATAAATATTTTTTTATGAGCCAACAAAAAATCCCTTTCGTTGCGAAGTGCTGACAACACTCATGCCGGTAAATTGTTGTAATCTTTCCTATTCGCAAACTTGTCATTTATTTTTGTTTCAACCGCTGCAGTTGTTTAAAACTTCTTCGTCGGGTTTTGGTTTAAATCAACACACAATATATTGAATTTTTATAATACAGCTTTCCAAAGTGTATCAATTAAAACAATGAATATGGAGTAAAGGCTCGTATAATTTCAACAGGTGGCAGAGTGATTGGCTGAACAAAACAGAAAGGTGATTATTTATTTCTTATAAACGAACATCTCTAAATTAGCACAACCTTTTAATTATTAATTCGTTCATATCGTTATAGAAACAGTACCCGTGCATTGTTATTAGCATACCCCACGAAGTGACTGAGTGTTCTACTCGATTTAAGCAGGCATATTGCTGATAATTGTAGAAAATGGTGCTGGATACAAGTACCGAAAGCGCCATACCTTTCTCTATGAACGTGCCAGCTTTCAATTATAGTGAGGAAGCACATCTCCTAGCTGAAACGCCGCTCTCAGAATTGAGCACGGAAACATGCTTTAAACTTTCAGAAATGTTGAATGGTCGTAAAATTTTAAGACATGCGGGACATGATCGTGACTGGCGCGGCATAGCCGAATTGGCAAAAGTGCGGAACTTCTGTAATAATAACTCTGACGATCCAATGCATACGGTGTTGAGTCAATGGACGCAACGGAATATTGCGGAGGCTACATGTTATCATTTACTGCATTTTCTTTCCAAAATCGATCGGTGGGATGTGAGTGACGATATTTTTACGTTTCTGGGTAAGTACGGTAGTATGTATCGTTCACATAGTCTAATGTTTAATAAACTTTCTTAATTTAGTGAAAGACGCTCGCCTGTTCGAGAGCAAAAGGTCACATGCAAATGCAACAGAGTGTGTTTCAATTACTCCAATTGAATGTAATGATGCATATTTAGTTGAAAATAATGAAAATGGGGAAAATGAAAGCGAAAAAGGCAGTGACCACACGGATAGTGGCGAAAATGAAGATGGCGGCTCAAGTTCCTCAGCAAGTGCACCACCAAGTCCGCCACCTAGTCCGCCACCAAATCTGGAATCCCTAATTGAACGTGTAGAGGAATTAACAAATGCAACTGGTAGCGCCCGAGTAAGCGCACCAACAGCTGCACTTGTTGTGCCAGAGGCAATGCCTGTAGCTGTACAAACTACTAAACCGATGACCGAAAAATACGAAAGCGAACAGTATACGAACGAAGTAAATCCGCTAACACGCCAAGATGCAGCGCGTTTACGCAGGGGTTTGCCGCTAACAAAATACGATGCGTTCGTATTATACGCTGAGCCCGATCAGCATTACGCCAATGAAATGCAACAAAAGTTAGAAAAATATACCGAATATAATTTTGGGGTAAGTCACGTGTGACTACTGTATTTAAGTTCACATTTAACAGTTATATTGTTTGTTGCAGCTTGTGTTTAAGAACCGCGATTTGCTCGGTGGCACTTTCTTTCACGATGCCGTGACTGAGCTCATGGAAGATCGCTGTAATTATGTGTTGCTAATTGTAACACCAAATTTTAACCGCGACTATGAGAGTTGCTTCTTCTTTCACAATGCGCAAACGTTGCAATTGCGTAAGTAGAAAATTATTTTTTGGAATTATTTTTTAGTGATAATACATACATTGCATTCTGCAGAGGAAAATCGTCGCAAAATTATACCTTTACTCTACGGCTTACAGTTGCCGCGTCGTTTACGTGGTCTGCATACTTTAAAATATCATAGTGAACATTTTTGGGATCTTTTGGTCGATTCCTTAAGCGTCAAAGAATTACCACCACTCACAAAAACCACAGAATATAATCAGTAAGCGAATTTTATATTATATTTTTTTATTGTGTACGACATATTAATGTAATTTATTTTGTATTTGCTATGTAGCAACATGCCAGCGCTACCAAGTATGCCCAAACCACCAGACACGCCAATAGCAGCAGCTGACGAAAATAAACCCCAAACAAAATCAAAAAGTAAAGCCACTGCTGATAAACGCACGGGTAAAAAGAAGTTTTTGAAAAGGCCCGAATGGATAAAGAAGAACAAAGTCCAACAATAACACAAATAGTGCCTTACCATAGCCACAGTGAGGCGTGTGCGCATTTACTTGCTAATTTTAAAGAAACCAAAAATTATACACATACCTACATACATATGTACAGTGAGATGAACTGTTATATGCTATGTGCAGTGCCTTTTTTTATATTAATATTTGCAGTCTATATTTTGTAGCTTAGTTTGTTTTAAAAAAAAATCTATCTCATAGTTTTAGTGAATAAATATCGAATCAATTATATGTACTTAAAAATGTTTGTCATTAAATATTTGCAAATCAAGTTGTGCGTAAAAAATTGTATTAAGAAATGTATTTAAGTTTTGGCTGCTACAACTATTTTAGCCTTTTTGGAGTAAATGCTGCATGCGGAAGACATTAATATCATGACAACAATCAATATTATTATATGCAAACCAAAGTAGCTGCGCAGTTTTTAACCCTGCTTCAACAGCGTGTGGTAAGTAGACGCAATTTCCTATTTCTATTCACATGTTGGGTTGCGAATTTCTTAATTAAAAAATTTTGGATTAAATATTAGATTTTGAATTTTTAATTCCTATGTTTGGATTAAAAATTAAAAATCTGAGAATTTTAAAGTTGGGATATAATTTAGATTTTTAATGTTGAGATTAAAAATTAAATTTTCAATTTTTAATTTTTACTATTAAATAAAAAAAAAATTACTAGTAAATTTAAAAGTAAAATATTAATAAATTAAAATATTTTTTAACTTAAAAAATGGAGTATTTAGAAAAAAAATATTTGTAAATTTGAAAGCTGAAATAGAAAAGTATAAAAAAGGAAAAATTTACATATGTAAATACTTCGCACTGAAGCACTATAATTATAGGCATTTAAATATAAATAAACAAAAAATTTAAGCTACATATGTTTATATTTAATTAAAAATAAGCTTTCTTTTTCAAAAGATAACCGAAATGGTAGCACACGAAGTATATAATCGCGAAAAAATTTTTGTTAATTACTTTTTTTAATCCGGTTTTTATAAAATATATTTTAAATTTTTAATCCGGTATCGAGTATAATTTTGTTTGTGGATTTGATATTTGAAATTAAACATTTAAAAATTATTTTTAATTAAGATTTTCGAAATTACAAAAATTTCAAAAAACAAACGAAGTTTAATTCAACTGTCAATGCAATTATTGTTTTAATGACTTCTTTGCAACCCTGATTATTTTTATAATATATGTACATATGTTTTAATGCACATTGCACAACCTCTGTTCCTAATAAAATTGAAACAATTGCTGCATTATTATTTTTTTTTTTGTAATTTTTTTGCATTTTATTATTTTTCATCATAAATAACTTTGTTCTTTGTTTGTTGTTGTTGTTGTCGTTTGTTATTTGTTATTCATCTTTGCTGCTCATCATTGTTTAAACTGTTTATTATTATAATTATTATTATTTGGTATCATCATTTATTTTATACTTGTTGTTGCATTCATTTTGCATACATCATACATAATTTGTAACCGCTTTTAATTATTCTATGCAAGTATGTATGTATCTAAGTATGTCTGCTACACAGCATCGTCGTCATCATCGCTCATCATTAATTCTCGCAACGCAACGCATTCACTATTTAATTATGTTGTCTGTCTGTCTGTCTGTATGTTTGTATGCATGTTTATGTTGTAAATATTAATATTTTTTTTTATTTTGTGTTACTTCTGACACATACATACAATAACTGACCATGAACAATTCAATTGCTGTAAGTGTATATGTGACTGTTGCACTGACTAGCTTACTGACTGACTGACCGAATGACGGTGTTTCCGCAGTTAAGTGCGTATAGTTAATTGTTTTCCTATTTATTGTTAATTAGTGGTTTTTAGTTCTATTTATATTATTGTTGTTGTTGTTATTGTTATCATTCTATGCTTGTGTCAACTGTGTGAAAGTCAGTTTGTGGCGCGTTTCATCGGATGTGTGTGTTCTTTTGGTAATTTCATATTGCCAGTGAGTTGTTGTTATTGTTGTTGTTCGTTTACTACTGTATGTATATATGTATGTATGCTGCTTTCTTCATTTATTCATAATATTTATTATTTTTTTTTTACCTCAATTAATGGAAATTATTATTAATTTTAGTTGTTTTTAATAATAATGATAATCATAGTAATAATAATCAGTATAATCATAATGCTTACAACTAAATTAATATAATTTTTATGCAATCTCTTTTGTTTTTTTTTCATTAAATTACTACACTCATCATATTTCTAGCGCTCGCTCGCTCTCGCTCTCTCTTTCTCTTAATCTCTTATGTGCTTTACCTAACTTCTTTTTTATTTACTTTTTAATCATTATTTTTTATTATTTTATTTAATTTTTATTTTGTTTTGCGGTTTAAACTTGAACTTTATCTGCTTCTAAGTACTGCTGCTTTGCTACGCTTACTATTATTATTATTTATTTCATATATTTCTCCTTGCCTTTCATTTATGTTGTAACAAAATTAATAAAAACAATTTAATTGATCAATTTTTGTTTTTATATTTTAATTACAATAATATGCTAGTTGTGTTTTTTCTTATATTTTTAATTTTAATATATTATTTACTGTTAGCAATCATTTTTATGCGCTAGCTTTATGCACTAATGCATTTTATGTTATTTTCTTTTCATATTTTTTTAATTTATTTTCAATATTTTTTATATTTTGCTCGCTGCTTGCTTTTCTTGCTTTTGCGGTTTACTATTTCTCGCTGCTTCGCTTGCTTTCTTGTGTTATGCTAATAAAAATGATTTGCGTGTTTGTATTAATTTTTTTTTTAATGTTTTTTCTTTGCTCATTTTATACACTAATCAGTTTTATGCAACACTTTTAGACTTTGCTTAATTATTTTTCCAATTCGTATTTATTTCATTGATTTTTGAATTTTATTATTATTTCTGAATTTTTGTATTTTCACATACATATTTTCAAATATTTCCGCATTATATAATTTTCGGTTAATTTAACTTTCACTTAATTTCTAACTTCCATACCTTAGCTGATTGCATTTTTACCGCAAAAAATTAATTTACTATGTTTTTGGGAACATTTTATGATTTCTGTACTTTTATTATTTTTTCTTAATTAATTTTCATTATTCATTATGTCTTCTCTATCTTTTAGTTCATGCAATATTATTCTTAATTTTTTTTTTATTTTAATTTTTTATTTTATATAATATACATATTCTTTTTTTCTTTCCTTCTTTATAATTTTATTTATGTACCGGAGCTTATTTACTACAAAAACAAAAACAAAAAACTATTCTCATGCTTTCTCGCATTCTGTTGGAAGTGAGCTTGTGAATGGGTTCGTAAGTGGCTAAGTGACTTGTGTGTGATGCGAAATGTGTGTCGGGTTAAGCCTTTTTGTTTCACTTTTGGCGAAGTGCGACTCTTGGGTTTTCGTTACTCGCTTAAAATGTTATTGAGATTTTTTTTTAGATTTTATGCAATCTTTCCATATTGGTTTATATGGTTTTGTGCGCGTACTAATGCATTAATTTTTTCAAAGGGCGAGCGACGTCTGCAGTCATTTGTTAGTGTTTAATATTTAAATATGCGAAATGCTTAGAAATAATATGATTGCGAAGTTTCAATTCTGACTGTTTACCCTCTTTACTTTCAATTTTACGTTTTCTCAATAAAAAATCACTCGCTGAAAGTTTTATCAAATTAAATAAGCGCTTATTTCCTGAACCTTTTTTTTTACATGTGCCGATCCATAGCAGACGAGTCCGAAATTTTACGTATTTGTTTTGTGTTATGCCGTAGCAGCATATATTAAAAAAAAATTCCAAATTTCATACATTTTTTTATGAGCAATGTTTTAACATTTTTTATGAAGTTGACGCGCTTATGGTTTTCTACTCATCCTGGTCACATTTAAAAGGTCTTCATAGCATATAATTATATGCTAAAATTTTCTGGTAATTTTCTAAATTTATAAAATTTTATTTCAAACTAGATTTTATTTAACTAAACGAAGTTAATTTAAATCTTTGGAACATTAGAACTTAAATTGCCAACACCGTAGACGTTTGATTCGTATACTTAAAAAAACAAAAATTAATAAAGAAAAAAATAGTAATAATATAAATTAAAGAATAATTTAAAAAAAAGTAATATTTTTTGGATGAATTTCTTAATGAAAATAATAACATAATTAAAAAAATTAAAATTCTTTTATTTATTTAGATTGATACCAAAAAAAGCGCACATAGTATTAAAATATAATTTCAATTGAATAATATAGTTTTCATGCTAAATTTATAACTTCTTTGCAATGAAGTAGGTTTTCAGCAACCAAATGAGCTTTCAGCGTTACCCAAATATCTTCGACATACTATTCATACGTATGATTTTTTTGAATTTTTCGGTTTTAAATAAATTTCATATGCATCCTTTAAAGCTCTGATGGTTTACAAGCTTTCATTTCAATTTCATTTTTTTTTGTTTATAAGCTTTCATTTCAGGTAAAAATTTTACTTTCTTCTTGGAGCTTTCACTGTAACTAATTTAGAAAAAAGTAGAATGAAAATTTTAGAAATATGCCTATATATCTATGGTTTATTGTGCAGGAATTGGTAATTTTTTATGACGACAAGATTTTTATGATGTCAAGGGTGACCATTTGAGAAATTTTACCAACTTATTCGATCATTTGCTTGAAAGCTTGTTTCGGTCACACATTTTTAATATACATATAATATTATATTAAGTAAATAAAATAAATTTTTAATTAAAATATAAATGATTTATTAGAAAAAAATAAAAAAATAATAATAAATTCAGAAATAAATAAAATTATAATATTTTATTGAAATACAAAAAAAAATATATTAATTTATATTTTTATATTATATATAAAAAAGTATATATTTTTTGTTACGAAATCGTTTACCAACAAAAGTACCGCTACACTAGCTGCTCAAGCGCCTCTTGAATGCAATGTGGTTTTTTTTCTTTTGTATGTGTAGGTGTATTTCTAACTGTGTTTGTGTATTTTCGGTATCGCTTCGCCACTATCTGCCATGTATTTTCTAATAATGATCTTCAATTTTCTACAGTTATAATTTTTTTATAATTTAATCAGCAAGCATTATTTGCTTAATCATGTTAAGAATTTTCATGCCGGTGCAAGGTGTATGTGTATTAGTTCTAGTTACAAACACCCTTTTTTCATTTTTTTCTTACACTTTCCGCATATTACACAATGTTTTAGGTCTTATATGTGGTTTTGTGCTTTGAACAATGAATAGTACAATAGTTTGACTTTAATTTCATATTTTATATTTATTTTTCAAGTTTGTTTGGTTATGTTCGTCAAATTTTGAAATGTTTGTGATTTTCGTATGCGCAATGTGTGATTTGCTCCACTGTGCGACGTTTGTTGTTTGCATTAAAGGTTAAAGTTTTTGCACTTTATTAACAAAATGATTTTGAAAGGAAGTGTGAAAATTCGGGTGTTTTTTGTATAATTTTTTTTTTGAAAATTTCAATTCAAATTTGATTCACGACCAATTTTTATTAACAAATAAGAAATATACTCAATGTATGTATGTGCGCTTGTGTGCGTGTGTATTAATGAACATTTGCGTAACTAACAATTTTTTTTTCATTCACAATTTCTTTTATGTATTTATTTTGTATGTGTAGGTGTGTTAGTTAAATTTTGTATATTTCATAATTTTTTTTATTTTTGTTTAACTACTTCATCTATTTGTGCTTTGCTTATGAGCTTACATAACTGGGCGTACTAACAACAAAAACAGTTGGTATTTTAAATTACACACATTTCACGCAATTTATTTTACTAAATCTTCTTTTTGTTCACTAGAATTACAAAATAGTTGAGGAAAAAACTTATAATGGCAGTGTATCTTGATCCTCAATTCATCATTTGCAAACATTATTATAATTATTTTTTTTAGTTTCTCCCTCCAATTTTTTTTTTTGTTTTTTGTAATTTTTCGTTTCATTTCTTACTTTGCTGTTCAATTCAATTATGAAATTTCTAAAAACCAATATCACTACGAGGAGAATTTTGTGTGTTTTTCTTGTGTTCAAGTTTTCGTAAATATATTCGTTCATTCGTCTTTATTACTTATGGGATTTTCTGTGTTGTTTATTCATTTTATTTTATTGTTTATTCGTATTGACATTTTTAAATATTTTTTAATGTTTTTAAATATTTTTATATATCTTCTTTTATTTTTGTTTTTACTTCGTGTTTTCTACTAATTCTGATATTTAAAAATTATGCGTGTTTTGTTGTTGTTATTGTTGTGGTAGTTTCCTCATCATGTACACTATTAAATACTATGGCAGTTTTATTTATTTATTATGTAATTCATTTAAAATGAAAACTCAACAAAAAACAGCGAACACTTATTTAACAACTATTGTATTATTTAAGTACTTCTAATGAGCAGTTAGAGGAGAGTGGTAGAAGTGGATGCTGAAAAGAAAAAAACTGCAAAAACAGTGATATTGCAGATATACTTATTACACATATAGAGGGTATTCTCACAGCTTAGTGAGAGAGCGGTCATTACATTTGCGAAAAATATATTGAACAATTTCAATCTTAATGAATACCTTGACTCTGAATTAGGTTTCTTTATTTCAGAATAAAGCTTCGCTGATCACGAAAAGTATGCTAATGCGTAAGCAAACGTAAATTTATATAGCAGCTCAATATTTTCATGTACCTATATATCTTGTGGTCTCGTTATTTCCTTCATATTATTTGAAACGCGTTAATCCCGAATGAGTTTTCTTTACAGCAAAAAAGACCGGACCGAATTACAGTAATGCTCCGTTGGCCCCCAAATGTACACTTATAAACCGCATTTACGAATCTCATTATTTCTCTCATATGCATTCAACGTCTTCAAAAACATTCAAGTTGTCAAAATTTTGAATTCAAACTAGGACGATGAAAATATCTACTTTATGGATCCAAAAAGTTTGCTTTGAACCATAAAAGTTTAATAGAGAGATTAGTTTATGTTAAAAGTCTCTGGCTGAACATCTTTACCACTTTTGTTACCTCTATATATTTTGGATATAAACAAAATGCTCCAAACTTTTCGGAATCCCATCAGTTTTGTTTGAATTTATGTACAATTTTCCAAAGAAACTTTGCTAAGCTTACCCTGCAATATCATTTAAAAATTAATCAACTTATTTGCTGAATTAAATGCTGTAATTGCAATAGTTTTACTAAATATTTCTTAACTTATTTATGTATGTAAACATAAATTCCAAATGATCTGAGTAAAAAAGTGAGCTAATAAGGTGGCTTTAGCGCGTGCTTAACATGAATAAATAAGCTTTAAGTCTGCATTTTAAATCAGTATTATAATAAATGTCTTAATATAGTTACATATAAAATCGTAATTACAAAATAAACATAATCATATTTAATTTGGTAAAATAACATTTTTTAATTATTTCCAGTTTTGATTTAATTCCACAAAGCAATATTACTACTTATATTGACACAATAAAAGCTCACATAGCTTTAAGATTTAATTTCCATTAAATAATAGAGCTTTCATTCTAAATTATAATAATAACTTTTTTGCAATTAAGTAGACTCTCCTCGTGGCCAATTGAGCGTTCAGCGTAAGCACAAGTTCTTTCAGATTCCCGCTTCTTATTATAACTTTCATAGTTTTTCGGTTTTAATTAAACTCCATATTGGTTCGTTAAAGCTCTAATGGTTTATAGGTTTTCATTTCAAATAAAGAATTTTTTTGTGGCAACCTTCACTGTAACCAAACGAACTTTCAAGAGATTACACTTGTGCTTTCATCGTGACCGTATATGCTTTCAATCTATTCCGAATTTAATATAGTTTCATAAAGTTACATTAGCCCTTTAGAGAACAAATGAAATAATTTGAACGAAAAAAGCTCTGATGCTTAAAAGAGCTTCATTTTAGATGGAAATATGATTTCATAGCGATCAATTGAACTTTCATCGTAATAAAATGAGCTTTCATCCCAACTAACACAACTTATACTTATTTTGGCATGCAGTTTTATGTTTATGTTAAATTAGCTATATATAGTTCTTACACTATACACAGATCAATAAAATAAAACATTAAAAATAGTAGGTTTTATGTTTCAACTTCAATTCCTGAACTAAATACAATCTAATATCTGGAAGTAGATTTTACACATATTTTTATTGCCAACTACTTAACACATATACATATATTATATATATATTTATAAAGAGGTATTTATGTGCGTGAAAATCACTTGCTTAAAACATTTCAAGAATCACTTTTATATATGGAATATGACAGTATGACTATATGTATGTATGTAACAATTGGAGCTTGTTAAAAACAAGATTGTAGTTATAATTCATATTACAGAATACAGTGATGCGCCAAAGAATAGGAACCAGAAAAATATAGTGTAATTAAAAGCGCATTAAAAAACAAGACTAAAATTTGTGTCTTATATATGTAGATATAAAAAATGTAGAAATGATAAAAATATTTATTTGAATGCATTATTATTTTTTTTTTTTTATAAAAGTTTATTTTTTTTTAACTTTAAATAATTTTAAAACACAAGACTATTAATTTATGCGCACCAAAATTTTTTCTCTTAAAAAATAATTTTTTTTATCTATACCCGTCACCGTACACTGTGTTATTAAAAACGGAACATTATATAAATTTGTGTATAAAAAATATAAAAATGATAAAATATTTTTTAAATACTTTTTTTTGTAAAATAAATATTTAGTATACATTTTTTTTGTTTAAAAAAAAAAATTTAAAACCCGAGCACATAATATTTATTTACGATAAAGGAGTATTTTGTGTAGAAACATAAATACAGCAACGATGCATATATTTTTTTGAATACTATTTTTATAAATATATATGTATATATTTATTATTTTTTTTTTAATAAATTTAAATCCAAGCAAAACTTATTTATTAGCTTTTAAAGAGTAAAGAAAAAACTTAAAAATAGTAGCGGTTCAAATTTTATACATTCTTTTTCTATTTTAATGCCCGCTACTGTAGATTGTGTAATTAGTAGAGCTATAAAAATTAATACTATATTAATTTATTTTTCTAAAAAAAAATAATTTAAAAAAATATAGAAATTAATCGTTTAATATCTAATATTATCTTTTTTAAAATATATGTTTTTGCATAAAATTTTTTCATACATATTTTTTTTATAAATATACATATATATTTTTTAAGTTAAAATAAATTTAAGCCACACGCACATATTATTTATTCACACTAAAATATTAACAAGAAAAACTTTTTTTTTAAATAAATTTGAGAGTTTTAATATATTCCTACTCTATTTCAATGCCCTTCACTGTATTTTGAAATTAATTATATGCATAATTATTAAATTCAAATTATTTACACACATGAAGATTTGTTTATATGTGCACTATGTGTACCGTTACATATGTACATAATTAGACATAAATAAATACTTAAATGTGTAATGAGTAGATTGAGTAAGATCACATTTGTTTGCATTGAGATTTGTGTGAGAGAAACTTAACTGTTCTTTTTGATTTAAATAATTCCATTGGTTCACATAGAAGGTAAATGAGTTGCTGCTTTTATATAAATTAATTATATAAATGTTTTATATAATATGAATTGTGTGTCTAAGGTTTAACGATTAATTAATAAACTTATTTTCATAAATAGTTCATGAATGACGTAGTCCACATGTTTATATGTGTGTATGTGCGTGTATGTAAAAACGATTGATTGATTAATTTTTCTGCGATATTTTAGAATTTTGAATTTATTATTTCATTTATTTACTTGTTATTGTTGTTTTTTTATTTCTGCGTTAATGTTAATGCGTGTGTGGTGCTTTCCGGTACATACTTGGGTTGGCTATGCAAGTTTTTCACTGTGTATTGCTGCCTTCTACGCGCTATTAACATCTCTATTAACCTACAAATGTTTGTGTGTTTTAGGTCAAGTTAGTTTTTTAATTTCTTTAAGGTTAGGTTTAGCGCCAAGTCGGGGTTTCTTTAATTTCGTTTAATTTATTTAATTTTTTGTTGGTTTCATTTAATTTTTTCTTACATCTTGCTTTAACTATTACTTAAACGCTATTGAATTGCATTCTGGTATTTTTATGTTGTCATTATTAATGCTTACAATTATGCACACACGTTGTATGTATGTGTGCCATGTCTGTCTACATGCGTGTGAGTGTATGTAATGTTTGTATGTGTGTGTCTATTTTCGATTTCTGTCACCTCCCTGTTTTCACTATGCCGCACTGTCCTTTTAACTACTATTGTTACTTCTTATTCTTCTTTCTCTTGTTCTTATTTAATTTACTACAATTTACTAAAATTGTTTCACTATACTTTACTTAAACGTATGCTTTAGCTTATTTATTCACTTTCTTCTTCCTCTTCCTCTTTCTTTTCTTTTTTTTTCTTCAACCATTTTATGTCTTTTAATCTGTATTTCCACTCACACATTCCTTCTTATTACACATTTTCTTTTGTTTTCTGATTCTTTAGTTTATTTTTTTATAATTCTTTTGCTTGTAAATGCGTGTGTGTGTATGTGTGAGTTCGGTTTTAATGCTTAATCTGCTCATTTGTTTTTGTTATTTTTTTTCTATATTAAATTTAATTAATTGCATTTCTATATTCTATCCTCTTCGTCCTCCTCCTCAACTTCTTCGCCATTCTCTTCGACCTCCTCCTTGTAACCGGGATGTTCGGATATGGCGTAATAGTTACCATTATAGATGACGCCCAGCTCGCGCAGCGCATCACCACGTATTGTCGCCTTTATCGTCCAATTGTAGCAATCGTCCGATTCCGATTCTCGATCCAGTCGCTCCACGTCGAGTATTTTCGAGTTGAGTCGCTCCAATATGATGCCGATATCTTTGATGCTGAGATGTCGTTTCTGATCGACAGACAGCTGATCGATGAGCAGCAGGAATTTCTCCGTCGTCGTCTTATCATCCTCCATGACGGTGTTTTCTGTTTCACTCTCGGAGCTATCACGCTCCGGCGCTATATCCAGAAAGCGTACATGGCCTTTGACGCCCGATGAGCGTCGTTGCATGCTGCCGCCCATCATAGGATCCACAACCGATGACATAGATAGCGTCGCTTGTTGTTGCTGCGGCTGGGGACTTGTGGTGCCGTCTTGTATTGGCGATGTGGCCACACTTTTGTGCACCGCAATTTTGCGTCCCTCCTCGTGCAGCGCACAACAATGAAAATCGCATTCCGTGGTGCTGGGACTGCCCGCCCGACTGGGCGTATGCGCATGATGCGCACATTCCGGTGTATGCACATGCACCGCCCCCACTGCGCTATCAAATGAACCGCCCTGTTTAGATAGGCGTCTACTGGTGCCGGGTATTACAACGCCAGGTGGCAGCACCACACCGCCCGGATGGTATATGCTAGCTGGTCCCTCATCGCTGATGACGGTTATTTGTGGGCTGGCATAGCGTTGCTGTGACGATTGTGACGACACCGATTTGGTATCGAGCGAACTTTGCGCCGATAATCCCTTCTTCGATGGTGAATATTTGTCCGATGACATGAGTCCGTTACTGCCGCTGACACCACTACCGCTCGGTCCCATGCCACCAACGCCGCCGACACCGCCTCCACCTCCTCCGCCGCCGCCTCCTCCTCCACCGCCTCCACCTCCCTGACGCTGGTCCCAATGCAGGACCACCGTAACACGACCCTTATTATCCATAATTTTCCAAGATGGCGTCTCATCGTGTAAGTCGAGCGCATGAATCGTCTCACAGACGATCTTCGGTATGGCTGATATCGCTATAACACCGTTAATAAAATGATTTAGTATGAGCATTGTTAAGTAAGTTCAATGACCTACCAGCTTTTATAACATCCACACCAGTTGGATACCAGCGTTCACCCTGCCTTAACAATAGTAGCACCGTATTGTTCGTCAATGTACGAAAATATTCGCCATCTTCAATTTGGGTTCCATCGCACTCCAGAACAACACGCACCGGTTCTGAGGCAGGAACCCCTAATTTATCTTTTCCTGTTGACAATCGCAATTGAAAATATTTATAGAAAGATTTCTTAATATAAATGAAACTTACCTCTGACTAATAGTTCCTCGAATGTTCCAACAACTACGCCTTTGCGCACATTTCGCCAACTATCCCAAATTTTAAGGGGTCTCTTGCCACGAGACTCCTGTAATAAAAGAAGCAATGAATTAGTTATAAATATTTGTACCAAAAGTGAATTTGATTTGAAAGTGATTTAGCTTTACAACAACTTGTCTCTCAAAGTTCTTATGTATTCGGAGGTAATATCAAACCTTCTAGTGCATTTCTCGGCTATTTGAGGGTAGTTGAAATTCTAAGGTTTAGAAACTTATAAGAGAACTAATATTATTGCATCATAAAACATAAAAGCTTTTTTAGCGAATTCGTTGCGTATTGGCTGTTGAGCTTTCCTTTTCGAAATTTCCATCGTCAGTCCACTCTTAAACCACTCTCAAGGCAACCAAAAATAAATGCCTTTCGTTTGTTTTATTATTTAGAATTTATTTGAATATTTACAGTAAATAAATAGAGACATTTGTTCTCCATTTGCATTTTTATGCGAGTTTGGTTTCAGGTAGTGTTTTTGCGTTGTTTGTCGAAACCCCGGTTTCCGCGAGAATACGATCAGGTTTACTTCCTGAGGGAAATGCGGGTTTGCTCGCCACATAAATTCAAAGCTTTAAGACTGATATTTTCAAACGACATTTGCCTGTTTCCTCTTCGCTTGTAAATAATGTATCGTCTAAGCCCTCCTAGCAGATATTGTATAAGTGACCGCGTTCTTCTTACCGCTATCATTGAAAAAAGTAGTTAGCTACAATTTTCGTTGAGAACACTTTATCAATGGTAGATTGTGCCCGGAGTTTCTGTTTACAAAAACGCATGTTTGGCTCACGTTAATGCCGTTACGTCAGAATTAACACTAAATTTTTGAGCTGTAGAAAACTACTTTGCCTTGAAGTCCGCTAATTGTTAAACCCATTCATTAATCGAAGGATATATCCGTACAGATATCCAGCCACTCTTTTTATATTGTTGCTTTAATAACAGTATGCTCAGCTTTATAGCTGGTTTCGTTGAAATTACGTTATCATAAACTCTGAGTGTCACTTTCTTTGAAGGATTGAAAGTGCCTTTTATCGCTTGTAAGTATAATGTGGTCCTTTGGACAAAACCTTTACTGCATTATCTATTATCTTAGTACAGTCGTATGTAATGTTCCATAGAAAGGGACTCGTGTGAAAGCCTGTCGGTTGTTTCTATCAGTGTATTCGACTTTGAAAATCACTTCTAATTAGATGATATATTGTTATACAATTGTTTTCCGGCTATAAACTTAGTAAGATGTGTTAAATTTTTCGCCCAGAGTCTATTTCGCTCCTCTAAGTACCTGCATAGTTTTGCTTCACTAATTGCTACACTAGACATCTTGCCAAGAAATTTGTAACACCCAGAAGGGAACGTCGGAGCCCATATAAAGTACATACACATATATAAATGATCAGCGTGAATAGCTGAGTCGCTTTAGTCATGCCCGTCTCTCCGTCCTTATATCTGCCTGTACTTGTATGTCCCCTCTGATCTCAAAATAAAGTTCTTGTATAAAAAACTTTTTTCTTTGACATGTTATCCTTAAGAAATATGACACGGATTATTATCTAAGGCAACAAGACAATCTACGAATACAGATTTTCAGATCGGATCACTATATAGCTGCCATATAAGTTAAACGATCCAATTCAGGTTCTTGTAAAAAAAACACTTTTTTCTTTCTGAAGCTGCATATTCAGCGCACCGAGAATTGAACTATATTTTTTGTTTTTGGCTCATTTAGGACTATGTGACTTGGTAACTACTTGATAATTTAACAAGTTTTAGGATATGCAAGATATATGAAAGGTTTTCAAAATCTAGTTTTAAAGCAGTTGAGAAGTTCGGTTATATTTATTAAAGAGTTTTTAAAGTAAAGCAGCACTCTCTAAAGTGGACTACTGCGCAAATGGCTCGCAAAGAATTCCACACAAGTCTTGAAGTACGTTACACCGCCAAACGCCACAAATTGTGCCTTATCTGCATCCAACTACAAATACCCGTACCGTTGTAGCACATACAAGAATTCATGGCGAGTGCTTTGTACATAGTTAATATTTGCAGATTTTGTGATTAGAGCAATGTAAGTGTCCAATGCAGGCGGACTGCCAGCGAAAGCGCCACAGTTAAAGGATAATTAAAGGATTGCATATACCTTGCCGCAAAACACTCACACAGCCACATACAAGTGCAATGAAAGGCCTTTGCAGTTTGGCGAGTAAGAGCATATACATATATGATTAAGTACATATATACATATAATATAATATTAAATACATATAGGTATGTATATATGTAGATATAATCACAACTAACAAGATAAACACGTTGCACTGAAGTTGCAACAAAGGCGCTGCCCGAACAATGGACGTTGAAAATTGCCAGATTAGTGTGTGTTTGACAGCGTTGAAATTGCAAAAAGGAAATAGGCACACACACACAATATACCTATGTGTGTATGTATGTAAATGCTCCGCCAGCAGATAGCGAGAAGTAAAAGGATTTGAATTAAATTCCTTGCTGGAAAATGCCTATAAGGAAATACTTGCGATTGAAAAGTATTTCTAGACTGTGTAGTATTCATGTGAGCACATATGAATGTGTGTAAGTATATTTTGGTAGATTTTAATCAAACAAATTCGCAACATTGATGCTGCAGCCACGCAGTACAAAGGCGGGTAGCGCGGGTGTATCGAAGCTGCAGTAAAGTGAAGCATTTTGTGACTGCAACAACAAGAAAAGTTGCACATGTGTATTTAAAAGAAAACAAAAAAACAAGAAAAAAACGTTTTCTTCGATTGCACCGGAACGACAATACCCTTCACATATAAAAGTAAGTTTTCCATAGAATGATTTGATTTTGTTCGTTCAGTTTGTACGGCAGCTATATCTTATAGTGGTCCGATATCGGCGATTACTACAAATGAGCAGCTTATTAGGGAGAAAAGAACGTGTGATAAATATCCGATCGTTAACTACAGAGACGGACCAGGCTGAATCGACTCACTTCATCACGCTGATCAATTATACAAGTATATACACGCAAACTTCGTATGCCTTGATCAGGGTATAAAAATACAATAAACACCACGAATGAAATGAAATAAATGTGAAACTAAACTGAACTGAGATTATTTTCTCCTACAAACATACATACATACATATGTGTATGTGTGTGACATCCACTATTTACTAGCGCAATACAGCTGTGAATATATATATGCTCATAAATATGTACAATACATAAGGCGTTACGAGCTTATACATATTTATAGGCTATATATATATATATATGAACATTGGTATACACATACATTCTTCCAAACGGTCGCTTGTATGTTGCAATGCATTGCAAGGACATCAAATGAGAGTCCTAGTGACCCAGTAAGCAGCCGTCGCAGCAGCACTGACAGCAACAACAACTTGCTATGCGAAGACCATGACAAAATAGACAACAACAACAACTACTTACATACAGTCAAAAACACACATACATGGACACACACACACACTCATCCAGCAAGTAGCAGCACTTTGCAATAACAACAATGGCGAAATAGAAAAATCAGCAGTCCATTCCATTTCATTCCACTTCATTCCGTCGAATTTAACTGAATTCAGTTTGCCTTACCCCAACAGCATCTTGAAATATCCGCCCAATCCACCTATCACCGCACACTTCTACAGCTCCCTGTCAACACACCTTTCTGCTAAACGCCGAGCGTTTTCGTAAGTTCGTTTGTCCTGTCGTGCCAAGCAGCGAATGTGGCTGCTACAAATTGCGTTGGTCATGTACGTTGCAATAACAACAACAGCAGTAAGGTAACATCTGTGGTACAACAAACACTGCGGTCGCAACTGACGCATCCTGCATCCGCCCAGTTTGGTTCAGTTCCGCACAATTCAGTTGAGTTGCGTTCGGTTCGTTGTAGCCAGCATTCTGCCACTTGCAACATTCAAATGGCGACATCGATCAAATCTTTCGTTTGCGCACACTTACACATACTTTGCTTTCGCTACATTTTCCTTTTGCAATATAATTTCCTTTACTCAACATCCGCACCCAATTTGATGCACGATTCGCACGCCCTCTGTCATTCATTCTCATTCGTGCATAAATATTACTCACACACATACATCCATATATACTCGCATATAAATCCTATGTATACTTTAGAGATCATGTGTATGCAATTGAGTATTTGTATATATACATATGTATGTGTATGCATGTGTGTGTGTGTGTGAGCTTATCTACGACAACGTGTAATTGCCCGATTTCACTTTTGTCATCAGCTGTGCTCTGCTATGACATGCCCCCGCTCTCGCATCGCCTACAAAATTGTCAGAGTTGCTTTGGTTGGCTTTTACTTGCTATTGCAGAGATTTTGCTGCGAACACAAGGCTCTGGTGTGAGGTCAAATGCTTATAGACTACAATTAATCGCCTTTTAATTTATTAATCAATATTATTGATGTGATTTTCTGCAGTAACCAGTATTATTGCTATAAAAAATACCTCTTATAAAAGTTAGTTTTAGGTTATCAAGCATTAGAGGGTCTAATATATTATTAATATTAAGAAGAATAAGTGATCTAGAACTTTTGATAAAGAATTTTTCGAGAAAATCGATTTGGTGTAAATCATTTGAGTTATATAGTGAGCCCAGTTGTGTATCTGAGTCAATCTTTTTTAAGCAAACTATTTTTTAATGGAATTTTCGTGTAATACCATATACGCGTTCACTCTGAGATTCGACAATGTCAGCTGAGGCTACGTTAATTTTCACCTCACCTGTGAAATTTTCATTCGACTAACATAAGCTGGACACTTAGTGAAGAATAGACATTCGCCTTACCACTCTCCGAGATTTGGACCGACCAAGATTAAAAAATATTTTTTTCTAATAGTGGTTACCGCACCATAGGTTATAACAAAGCAGAAGCGATCTAAAACTTGTAGCACAACAACAACTCTTCGTCATCTAGGTTAGGTTAGGTTAAATGGTCGATCCGAAAACGCAACCCATTTTATTTAAAAATTATCATTGTAACT